GGAGGGGACTTGAGAAAGCACTAGTTGTTGACACCAAAGTTGGGCACAACAGAGAAAGCCCTTGTTTTTGGATCCACAAAGGCCAAGAGAGAGCGTGGGGAGCTTGGGGACATGCCAGTGTCCAGTGGGGCTGGTGCCAGTGGTAAGGGGTGAGAGGGGAGGCAGGCAGGTTCGCTGTAGTGAGCAGCCACGCAGGGCCTTGGACGCTGTGTCCTGAGGACAGTGAGGGCCTCTGGGTGGCTTTACACAAGGGAGGTGACAACCGGATTTATACTTTAGAAATGCTACTGTGGCTTCTGGAGAGGTGACAGGTCAGAGAATGGACCCAGGCAGAGGCAGGGCCGTGTAGGGTCCCATGGGGTCCCATGACTTAAGTTTAAAATCCACTTCCCTATTTCCTACCTGGGGGTCACTGGACATGTCCACCTGTCCAGTCAACTGTGTCCCTTCCCAAATCCATAGGCTGAGGCCCTCAACCCCAGGACCTTAGAACATGACTGTATTTGTAGACAGGGCCTTAGAGGAGGTAATTAAGGTAAAATACAGTCCTTAGGATGAGCCCTCATCCAGCCTGACTGGGGCCCTCAGGAAAAGAGGAGGTCAGGATACAGACACACACAAAGGGACATCATGTGAGGACACGGGGTGAGGACGGCCGTCCACACGCCCAGGAGAGGGGCCCTGGGAGGAACCAGCCCTGCCCACGCTTTGATCTCAGACTTCAGGCCTCCAGAGCTCTGAGAAACCAAGTGTCTGTGGCTCAGGCCCCGCCTATGCTATTTGGGTCCGCAGCCCCAGCAAACTAATACGGTGCACCAGGCAGCGTAGCAGGATGGGGAAGGAAGAGACAGATTCAAGTCGCTTGGGGGACTGGTGTGCCCAGCACACAGTAGGCACTCAGGACAAAGCTGCTGAATAAGGTTGGATTCAGCATGAGAGGGGCCAGAAAGGGGGGACTGGGGCAGCTGGGAGAGGGCAGGACAGGCCTGACCTTGCTGCGCAGTGAGCGGCAGCCAGGAGGCGGTGGGAGACATGGAAACTCCAGCCTTGTCCAGCACCCCAGTCCCAGAGCATTCACCCCCGACCGCATTTCCTGCCTCTGTTCACCTGCTAGCCCAGATTCCCCGAAAAAGAAACAAAGGCTTTGGGGGCAGGGTCTTTCACGACTGCCAAGTTGGGAACGCTCGGCAGGACAGGTGTCTGGAGCCTGGGGGAGAGAGAGGGAGGCTGAGAACAACCTGGAGCTAGGGGTGAACCCCTGAGCCCCCAAGGCCTGGGGCTTGGGGCGCTTTGGTTGCATTTCATTTCATTTGCTGTCAAGGGGACTGAATCTGAGCACATTGGAAAGTTTGGTTTTCAGAACCTCTCGGATATAGGAAACACTAAAAGCCAGAGAGAGCCTCCGGGGGCGAAAGTTACCCACAGCATCTCTGACCCCTTAAAAAATGAGTAGCAGAAACCAGATCAGGCCTCTCTGGTGTTGGGAGAAACATTTCTGGGTCAAAAATTTCCAACCCATAAATTCCCCATGTTTCGAATTCAAAGGAGGACTGTGCAGGGCTGGGCTTTGCATAACCTTTCACATCCCAGAACTTCCTGCTTGGTGGCCTCCTGACAAGCATGTCAGCCGGGCCACGGTTCACAGAGACAGTCTGAGGCACTGAGGTAGAAAAGCAGATTTAAAGTCAGACTCAAAGCTCGGTGCCCTGGATTTTGCTTGATCTGAAAGGGAAAATTTAAAAAAATATTTTTTTTGGCAAAAGTGTTCTTGGAATGTGCACCTGGGGTGCGAGGCTGCAGCAGATTGGTTTGGGGGTCCCTCCTGTCCCCCGTTTCCCTCCACGCACACATGCCTGGGAGTCTCCCTGGTGAAGGGACCACGGCGACCCTCTCCCACACTCATCCCTCTTCAGAACTGGCCAAGCAAAAGTCAGCATCTTTGAAGCGCAGACTTGTTTATAAATGCAAGGCTTTTTTTTTTTTTTTCCAAGAATGTTTTGGGGCCTTAGCAGATTGTTATTTTAACTCTTTTCCCCAGATGTTCTTGCCATATTTGGGCAAGACAAGAGACCGGAGGACTTTTTGTATGTTTTTCATGAGAAACTGCAGGGTCTGGGAGAAGACCAATGTGCCTGGGGTCTTCTCCCTCTCGTGGGTGACCCTGGGCTGAACCTTCGTGATCAGCTCCGCCAGTCCCTATTCAAGTCCAGGTTCACAAACAATCGTTGGACGAGAAATGTCAGCCCATAAAAATTCTTAGAGGAACCCCCACTGCTTTGCCCAAAAGATCCTTATCTCTGGGGCAGAGACTTTCTGTTACATTCTGTCCCGGGGTGATAAGGATCTGAGCATCTACTCCGCATGTCAGGGCTCTGACGATTGGACCCCTCCCCATATCTCTGAGGCCCAGAGACAGGAGCAGCATGTTTTGTTTTTTTTTTTTTAAAGATTTTATTTATTTATTTGACAGAGATCACAAGCAGGCAGAGAGGCAGGCAGAGAGAGAGGAGGAAGCAGGTTCCCTGCTGAGCAGAGAGCCCGATATAGGGCTCGATCCCAGATCCCTGGGATCATGACCTGAGCTGAAGTCAGAGGCTTTAACCCACTGAGCCACCCAGGTCCCCACACGTTTGTTTTTTAAAAACATTTTTACTTGGGCAAATTTCAAACTGTAGACACATTTCAAGAACAATACAATAAATATCCATATATTTGGGAGGGGGCTAGAGGGGTGGGGGGGAGAAGCAGGTTCCCTGCTGAGCAGGGAGCCCAATGTGGGACTCTATCCCAAGACCCTGGGATCATGACCTGAGCCGAAACCAAGAGTCAGCCCTTCAACCGGCTGAGCCACCCAAGTGCCCCTACAGGTTGTTTTTAGTAAGAATTAACCAAGGGTTGCAAGGGGCAGTGAGTTGTTTTGTCTCCTTCAATCTACAACGGTTCTCATCCTTTTGTTTCGTGTTTACTAACTCTGCCTTTGCTGATAGAACATTTCAAAGCATCCAGGCCCGCTGGCTTGCAGAAAGACCCTCAATTTGGATTTGTCCAAGTGTTTCCTTTTGTTTGGATTCAGGGTTAAGTTTTTGGATGGGAGCATTACCCAGATGGTCCCGAGCCTTCTGAGGCACGACCCGGGAAGCTCACGAGGTCAGTCCACCCCGTTCCTGGTCACGTGAGGTTCGAGTCCTTCATGAAATTGACACCCCGATTCCTGCACCTGTTGGTCCTTAAAATTCATTCCTCTGTGGTTTTCACACTGATTGAGAAGATGCTTTCCTGAAATCCATTATTACCAGCATGTTTGCAGAACGCTGGTTTATGTTCTGGCATTCCTTGTACATTTATTAGCTGGTGTTTTTTGAAGAAAAATGTTCTCTTTTACAACTTTTTTAAAAAAAGATTTTATTTATTTACTTGACAGAGATCACAGGTAGGCAGAGAGACAGGCAGAGAGTGAGGGGGATTGGGGAGCAGGCTTCCTGCTGAGCAGAGAGCCCATGCAGGGCTCGATCCCAGGACCCACTGAGCCACTCAGGCGCCCCTCTTTTACAACTTTTTAAAAAAGTACCAGTATTGACTCATGGATTCAAGTCTCATCCAATGGGCTAAACACGTTACTTCCACCATTTATTTTGTGTGCAAATTCCACGGCGCCGCTGGGAGCCTCTTCAAGCCCTTTCTGTGCCAGTACCTCGGACATCCCCTCATCACCTTCTAGCACTTTAGCATCTAGGATCCTCTTGACATTCCCTGTCCCGGCCCTGGAGTGACCCTGTCTCCAAGGGGTCCTGGTGCCACTTACTGGGGACTGCTGTTTCACGACCCAGAGTGCTGAGTGGGGGCTCCTGCCACTTGGGAGTCACTGGGGCAGACAGAAGAGCTCAGGAGTTGTTATTTTGCCACAAGGAGACTGCGAATTCAAAACTCCAGAAGTTCTTCCTCCTCCTTTCCAAATCTCCCTCTTCCTGCAGTGAGGGCCTGAGTCCTGACCCCAGTTCTAGGATACCGTGGGTCGCTCCAGAACCGTCTGCCCTCCCGGCTGCCTGGCTCCTGCGGAGCGGGGTCCTGCTAGAGCCCTCTTCGCCCTTAGAGAGCTCTCTACAAGCCAGCACAGTCCGATGAGCCTTCCGGCGTCTCTCACACGGAGTTTTTGTACATGGGGCTATGACCTTCGTGTTGTACCTGGATTCCTTACTTTCTACTGGTTTCCAGTTTCAGTTTTCTCCTATCCTCACTGACTTATGTCTGAAATGTAAAATGTAATATTTAAGGTACTCGTGGAGAAAAAGCAGGATTCCCGATGCCGGAAGGAACCGTCTAGGCCAGGGGAAGCCCCCAGCACGGTTTTCAAGCGCTCCCCCTGAGAGCAGGCCTTTTGAACCAGCAGGGGCTGGGAGGCAGGACTGCGCTCCTCGCATCTGGGCGTTTCCGGGAGCCCGTTCCCGCCCTGGCCTCGCACCTGTGAACCCAAAGGGTCACCCTGGGGTCCCCGGAGGGCTCACAGGCCCGTGACTGGAAGGTTTCCGCGACGCACCTTCTCCGATTAGCCGCTTCCATCTTCAGCAGAGCCCAGCCCGCACCTGGCGCTTAGTGGGGTCTCCATAAACAGCTGCGGGAATTAGCGCCCCCATTTCACAGGGTGGAAGCGGCCGCTCAAAGAGGGGATGTCTTGCCCCCCGCCCCCGCCCCCTGTGCATCCCAGACGTCGGGACAGCGCCACCCCACCCCACCCCGGCGGCGCACCCTCGGCGCTATGGTAAGGGCGCGGGGAGAGGTCCCACCCGGCAGGTGGGCCCTCGGTCACGTCGTGGGGCGGGGCGTATGCAAATAGCTCGCGAGGGGGCCGGGGATTGGCCGGCGCGGGCGGGGCGGGGCGGGGCAGGGCGGGGCCGGGCGCGCCGAGGGAGGGCCCGGGCCGCCAGGTGCGCGGACCATGAAAGGCGCGGGGTTCCCGGGTCCCCTGCGCCACGCGCTCTCGCTCCCGCGCTGTGTTCCGGGCTATGCCTCCGCTCTGGGCCCTGCTGGCCCTCGGCTGCCTGCGGCTTGGCGTGGGTGAGCGGGGAAGGGGGAAGGGGTTGTGCCCTGGGAGGGCGGGCGGCTGAGTCCAGAGCCCTGACCCTCCCGCTGTCCTCAGAGGAGCCGGGGTGGCTCACGGCCTTGGGGACGGGAACTTCGCGTGTTCGCTCAGGAACAGGCAGGATGCTGCTCTGCGCCATGCCGCAGGCTCTGGGGATTCAGATACTAATAATAAAGACAACACTGATTAATAAGTTTCCTTGGGTGGGGGTTCCAGGGCTCATGGGTCACAGGTCCCTGGATGGGTGCTGTGAGAGACAGACGCAGCCACAGAAGGGGCCCAGCAGGAGAGTGACAGGGTCAGACTTGCGTGTTAGAGCAAAGGCCGGGGGCGGGGGGGGGGAGGCTGGTTTCTGGGGTCCCAGTGAAAAGAGTAGAACTCCGAGACTGGGCTGACTGGGTGAGGAGATGCTTTGGAGAGGCAGTGGGGTTCTTGGCAACTGGCCGTCTATGGGTGGGGAGAGAAGGCAGCCATTAGTCTGGACTGCTTGGTTTGGGCGGGGAGGATGGCTGGTGAGGGCTGGGGAGCTGCCTGGGTGTGAGACAGATTCCTGAGATGGCCCGTGGGGAGGTCGAACCCCAGGGCCCGCACACCCTAGGTGCCCAGTGTTGTATGCAGACATGGGGGTGGCACAGGGTGTGCCTGCGGGTGTGGACAGTTCTACTGGAGATCAGCTCCCGTCCTCACTGCCTCCTCTAGGTGTGAACCTCCAGCCCCAACTGGCCAGCATGACCTTTGCCACCAACAACCCCACCCTCACCACTGTGGCCTTGGAAAAGCCGCTCTGCACGTTTGACAGCTCAGCAGCCCTCGACGGCACCTATGAGATCTACCTCTATGTCCTTGTCGACCTAGGTAAGGGTTCTGCTTCACTTGGGCTGTGCTGAAAGGGGAATTGGCCTGTGCAGGGAGGAGGAAAGGAGGCAGGTAGTGGGACGCTCTCGCTCTGTCGTTCAGCTCCCGCCATGCACCTCGCTGTGCTTGCTCTGGGCCAGCCCTGGGCTGTGTGCTGCAGCCACACGTTCCTCTTTGCCCCAGAGATGTCCCAGCTAGCGGAGAAGTGCAGACAGCACCGGTCACTGAGCACATACATGACCCTCGGTGCTCTGCATTCCTTAGCCCTAACATTGCAAGACATCTGTCCCATCACAGAGCCAGGAATCAGCAGAGGCTGGAAAGCGAGCCCAGATCTCTGTGGTGCCTCCAGCCCCAGCCCTTCCCCAGGCTTGCCCAGGTGGGGCACGGCCGGTGTTGGTCAGGAGAACCATGCGCTTGGACTCGCGTGCTCTGGGCCAGCCCCGCCTGTTCACCGGAGCAATCCTGGCTTCTGGGAGAAGGAACCCAGTGACAGCCTCTTGCATTTCTGGTAGCCGGACGTGTGCAGGAGCTCATTCGGGGCCCTCTCCTGGGCCCGGGCCCAGTGTGTGCACACCGTGGGCTCTTTCTCTCCCATTCACAGTCGGGGCCAGCGCTCTGGGGGGGAGGGAAATGATGGAAGTCTGTCGGGGTGGGAGGACCTGTAAGCTTTTACTGGTCTGCAGAAGGAGGGGCCTTCCTCTTGCCCGAAGTCCAGGGGTGCTGCTGTCTGTCTCCCCCAACGTGCAGGGAGCCCCTGAGGCAGACCCTGCCTGGGACCCCGGGGCCCAGCACCACACTTCTCAGAGGATGTTCGGGGATTGGGTGACAAGCTGAGGGAGTCCTGTTGAGCCCGGGATGGCCAGGAGCCTCACCGCTGCCGCTGTCCCTACAGCGAGCTCCAGGAACGCCTCCGTGCAGGACGACAGCAGGACTCCCCTGAGCTCCACATTCCAGCAGACGGAGGGAGGGAGGACAGGCCCCTACAAGGCTGTGGCCTTTGACCTGTCCCCCTGCAGCGACTTGCCCAGCTTGGATGCCCTAGGGGACGTGGCCCGGGCCTCGGAAATCCTGAATGCGTACCTCGTCAGGGTGGGTGCCAACGGGACGTGCCTGTCAGACCCCAACTTCCGGGGCCCCTGTAACCCGCCCCTGTCAGCAGCCACGGAATACAGGTGGGTGTGAGCAGTCACGGGGGAGGGGCCGCTATGCCCCAGCCCCTGCTCAGGAAGACCCAGGAGGGGTGCGGCGAGGGGGGGCCTCATTTCTTATGCCAGGACCATCCCGGGTCTCCTGAAGGGACATGCTTCGGGCCGTGCGACCTGCCCCAGGCGCTCAAAAGGACCCCTGCTTGCCTGAATCCTCCACCACTGCCACTTTGAGATCTGCATTTTTTTTTTTAACAGGGGGCCTGCGTTTCCATTTTGCACGACTCCACAAATTCTGCGTCTGGTCCCGGCTCATCCCCCGCGTGGCGGTCACTTACGCAATGCACGTCATCCGCCAGGGGAGGAAACTAGCTGGCCCGGAGAGGGAAGGGGGTCACTGCGTGAAGCAGCGGCCTCACACGAACTCGAGCCACACTCCAGGCTTTTCCAGCTCCCGCATCATCCTCGCTTTTTCCTGCCTCCTTCTGGCCTGTGCTTTTGTATCTCCTCCCCCTCCTCCACCCCCATCCCCGACCCCAGAGGGTCCCTGATTCCTTTTCACACTCATTTCTTCTCCGTGCAGAGTCCCATGGCCATGGGGTCTCGCCCGGTACACCCACTCCCGTTACCATGGAAACGCCTAAGGCTGAGTCTCTGCACCTGCTAGGCACACCTGGGGCCCAGACCATCGGTCACCTGCCAACCTGACCGAGGGCTCGCCTCCCCGTTGGCCCCGGCCGCAGGGCAGGATGAAAGCCTTAGTGTCTCCTCCCCATCCTCAACCTCTGACCTCTGACCTTATTCTTAATGTGGGAAAACCTCCCCCTCCACCTACCTCCTCCAGCCTCCTGAGTGGGGGACACAAGGCACATATCCCAGCTTCTGGAATTCTCCTCTTCAAATCCAGAGAAATGGGAGATTAGGCAAAACACTGGAAGCTGTAGAGATCTGAAGGGTCTTCATTTCTTTCAAGTGTTAAGTGAGAGGCTGTTGGTTTCGAGTTCTCAGACCATCCGTCTTTTTAAACTGACCGTATCTGAGGCCTCAGGTGGGAATCTTGTGCTGATCTTCCTTTATGATTAGTGACTTTCAGCTGGGGTTTTCTACATAAAAGGGTAGTCCTGTCCCGGGGCAGTTGGGATGGGGATAAATATTATTCCTTTTTTTTTTTTTTTTAAAGATTTTATTTATTTATTTGACAGATAGAGACCAGAAGTGGGCAGAGAGGCAGGCAGGGAGAGAGAGAGGGGGAAGCAGGCTCCTGCGAGCAGAGAGCCTAATACAGGGCTTGATCCCAGGACCCTGAGATCATGACCTGAGCCGAAGGCAAAGGCTTTAACCCACTGAGCCACCCAGGCGCCCCCCCCCCTTTTTTTTTAAAGTCCCTTTTGGGATACCAAGGACCAGGCTGGGAATGGTGGAAGGCAAGAATGCTATGAGGATAAATGAGTCAATATTCAGCAGATACACTATACTCGTTCTGCAGATAATAGAGAAACGGGGGCCCCAGAGGGAGAGCTAAGAGGAGGGCTGCTGAAGTCTTCATGGAAAGTGTCCAGGGACAGGAATAGGGGGTAACAGCGCCATGGCCAAGCCCAGGACTGTCCTGCTGCCCAGAGCCCACCCTATGGCTTCCATCTTTTAGAAGGATTCTCTCTGCCCCCCACACCCATCACCCCAATCCCTTCACCTGCCTGTGGCCGGGCACACAGTGTAGACAGAAGTCCCTGTCTCTCCATCTCCCTGCAGGTTCAAGTACGTCCTTGTCAACACGTCCACAGGCTTGGTACAGGACCAGACCCTGTGGTCAGACCCCATCCGCACCAACCGGCGTAAGTAGTGGGTCTGGGCTGGGGGGCGACCCTCGGGCTGTCACTCAGTCAAGTCTCCCCAGTCACGGGCAGGCCAGTGGGTTGGTGAGGAGAATGTATCTTAAGATGATGTGACCGGAAATCCCCCGGGTGCTGTGGTGGAGGCAGGTGAAGGGCAGGCTGGCATGATTGAAGTCAAGGCATTTGCCTCCAAGGGGCATGGACTTTACCCTGCCTTTCCATCCTAGCCTGCCCCTTTGTCCAGGCCTTACAGCCACGTGACATGGCTCCAGAGGGTTCTGGGTGGTTCCGGAGGCTAGGACTCAGTGCAGGGGTGAGCCTGGAAGGGAGCAGGAGTGCTGCCCACCTCTCCACCCCGTTCTCTGGAGACTGGGTGGGCTTCCTAAAGGCGGTGGGCTCCGAGGCCTAGGCACCTGCCTGTGGCCCTGCCCTGTCCCTCCTCAAGCCTCCATCCGGGTTCTCAACATGCATTCGAGGTTTATACCCAGAACCGTGTCTGCTGAACCTGAGGGGCAATGGAAGAGATTTCCGACAGCAACCTTGACAGCACCCAACCCTAAGTTTAGAACCTTCTCCCCCAAGATGAGACTTCATGCCAGGATGGGCTCAGCCTAGAGCTGAGAATTTAACCTGTAGAGCACCCCCCCTCCCCCACACCATGGGAAGCTTATGGGGCACGAAGTAGTTCTCACAGCTTGCTTGAGGTCACACAGCTAGTGAGGGGTGTAGACAGATGTGTGTGTGCATGTGGCCGGGGTGGCCCCCTCCCCGCCCTTCCAGTGGCACGCCCGTGTGTTGTGGTCCCCCTACAACAGGGCTGCCTTGGGACCATGAGTGCTGAGTTCAAGCCCAGCCTCTGCGCCTCACTGCTCTGTGACCCCCTCAGAACCTCAGTCTCCACATCTGAGAAATGGGAAGAAAAATCCTTGCTCTGCCTCCCCAGCAGGGTTCCTTGGAGTAATCCAGACAAAAGCGCTTGGCCTGGCTCTTTTGGGGCAGGGCCTGAGGTCGGCTTGTGGGGAGAGTGTGCCCTCTGGAACCCGACAGACCTGTAGGCTTGAGTCTGGAGTCAAATGCCCTTGACAGGAACTCGAAATCCCTCCGCGGCAGTGAGTGATCTAAAGAATGCGGGTCTCGTCCAGTCTACATGGGAATGGCCAGAAAGCGGCCAGCTCATGGGACAACCTATAAATTGTCCACTTAGTTCCAGAAGGGTGACACGGGCCAGAGCAGAGTAGGGGTTGTGGGGCACCCGGCTCCCTTAGGCCGGGGCCCGTCGTCTCATCTCTACTTGCTCTGGTCCGTGTCCCATCCATTTCACCAGAGTTGAGTCTGTTTAGGGTTTAAAACTAAAAAGACAGTTAAAAGAGGAGGAGACCAGGGAGTTGGCGAGAGGGTGTGGGGCGAGCAAGGTAACTGCACCACAGACCTGGGGGGGGCAGATTCTGACCTGGGTCCCCGCTTCATCCTGAGATCTGTGGCTGCCAGGGTGGTGTGGGGTGGAGGGTGTTCCTGGGAGAAGTCTGGGGGTGCAGCATCTGAGGGCTAAGCGGGCCTGTGTCCCCTCAGTCACCCCATACTCAGCAATCGACACGTGGCCCGGCCGGAGAAGCGGAGGCATGGTCGTCATCACGTCCATCTTGGGCTCCCTGCCCTTCTTCCTACTTGTCGCCTTTGCTGGTGCCGTCGTCCTCAGCCTTTTGTGAGTACCTGCCAGCTGGAGGGCAAGACTCCGGGCCACCCTGGACACACTCCACCCAGAGGGTCCTCCGAGGTGGGGGTGACCCCAGAAGGCGAGGGAGCTGCCTTCCATCCTGGGCGTGCCTGTGGGGGTCCGCTGAGAGGGGAGCAGTGTCCTGGGGTCATCAGGCTGGGTAGGGAGGGGCTCAGCCCTAACACCTCTCCTTCTGTGCCTCACCTTCCTCATCTGGGAAATGGGGATACTAATACGTCTTGTCCTTCCTGTCATGACTGTTAAGTGACATGATCCCCACAGAGTTCTTAGGCGGCATCTGGACCCTGAACAGCTCTTAGCTTTTTTAGTCATGATTCACCCACTGACTGGACAGGTGGGAAAACTGAGGCCAGAGGGGTTAAGGGTGGCTCAGGGTCACACAGCCAGTTAAAACAGAGCTGGTACCAGAGCCCTGGTCTCTTGAGGCTCCCATGGGCTCCGATGTGTGTGTGTTTGGACCAGGACTCGAGGTCTCCTGTGTGTGTCTGGAGCAGCTAACAGGCCACCTGGTGGGTGTCAGGTGCACTCACGATCCTCTGATCCTGGGGGGCCGGCACAGGGGGTGCGTCGGGGCTCCAGCGGGTGCTGTGGGAATCCAGAGGAAGGTGAGGAAGGCCCCACCTGGAGCACCAGGGTGGGCTTCCCGGAGGAAGCGGCAGCAGGAGCAAAGTCTCTTTGGGACGGGAACGAATCCTGCGTTTCTCAGCCAGGGGGAGGGAGCCCCCAGGAGGCTTTGAGGACGGCAGGGGGCCTGTCCCAGCGTGGATGGGGAGAGCGGATGGAAAAGCTTCCCGGAGTAGGTGAAATTAGTGCACATAGAAATCAGTCGCTGGGAACGCCTCAGGGAGGATGGAGTAGGGGGCAGTCAACTTGCAAATCAGGTTGCCCTCTGACATTTAAGTAATAAGTAATAAAAACACAAATAATAGATAAGATTAGCCACCAAGAGTCTGGTTTGTCTGGCCAGACCTGGGAGTGGGAGGACATACTTCTGTCCCTCCCTCCTTTTGGACAACACGTCCTTCGGGAACCCAAGTTCCTGTTACCTGACTGTGGCCTGGCTCCTGCATTTATCCCTCTTCGGTCCCCTTCCGGCTCCAGCCCCACCAGACTTCCCACTGTGGCCTCAGAACTCTCAGCGCTTCCTGTCACATGCCTGGAATGCCTCCCAGCCCCACCCTCCTCCTTCAGGGCAGAGTAACTGTCCCCTCCTCTGGGAAGCCTTCCCATGGTTCCCACCTGGACTGCTCCGTTCTGTCTGGGCATTGTTTGCTGTGCATGCCCAAGACGGCAGCCGGCAAAGCCGTGTCTAAGTAGAAACTCCCCGGCCAGCTAGAGGAGTTTAGACTTGCTTGGTGCCCCTAACCCTCGCCCTCTTCGTCCCCTTGGTCAGGGACACAGGCAGCTCGGACAGGGAAACGACACACGACTCCCAGATCACGCAGGAGGCCGTCCCTAGCTCCCTGGGGACCTCGGAGGCTGCGTACACATCTGTGAACCGGGGGCCGCCGCTGGACCGGGCCAAGGTGTACACCAGCAAGCTCCAGGACTGAACCCGGGCTCTACCCCCAGGCGGCCACACTGTCCCAGCTGGCCTCACCCCGGGGACAGTGGGGGGTGAGGGTGGGGAGGGGGGGTGTCTGCGCACAGCAGGTGCTCACGCCCTGACCCCACCCGGGGAACAGGGCACGTTGGTCCAACTTGCGGGAATGCTTCTAATAAAACCTTCCCAAGATTCTGAGTTCAATAGAGATGTACTGAAGGAAGGAGTGAGAAGGTGGGTGAATGAGTCGATGTCATATGGAGGGGTCGGATTATTTCTCTAGAGGGTGGGGACAGGGGTCTGATTTTCCATCGGAGTGGGGGTGGTGAGGGTTAGGGAAACTGAGGCTATCGGAACATCTGGACGATGGGTCCTGAGAAACGGGCCGTGCGTGCAGTCATTGGATGGTGTTTGGGGTTTGCTGGCTGTGAGGTCCTAGAAGCTAAAGTGGGCACCCGGGGGGCAGCTGCTGGCAGCTCCTGTCACCCCCAGCAGCCGTCTCCTTCCCTCTGGGGCTCAGCTTCCTCATCTGTAAAATGGGCTGATATAAATGGCTAATTTCAAGGCTCCTTCTCAGCTTTCCCTGAAGGCCCAAGGTGGGCAGGCAGAAGAGGCTTTGGGATGCAGAAGAGGGGTACCAAGTCCACTTGGGGGATGAAGGGACTCCCCCAGCCCTGCTTCTCGGCTCAGATGACTCACTTCCCTCTTCTGAGCCAGGTAGTAAGACGACTTCCCTTTGGGGAAGGAGCAAAAGGAGTCACAGTCCCATTTCCCTTTTCCCTGAAAGAAGAAACATGTCAGAGCCGGTCCGGGTTGTAAAGCAGGAACACTACCCGTCGGCTTGAGGAGGCCGCATTCCCGAGCGGCGCCAGTGGCGGGATGGGGTGCTCTGAGGGCCCCGGATCATCCTCTGGAGGCATGGACGCTGAGACACACACAGATCTGCTAGAGGGTTCCAAGGCAGAGGAGGCAGGAAGGAGGCAGAAGCTATGGGAAGAAGCCTAAAGGCAGGGAGGGATCTGGAGAAGCCAGAGCCACTGAGGGTCCCTGGAGCTGAGAGGAGCCCAGACCCTGGGCAGTGGGGATGGGAGGGGGTGATGGTGCTGCTCTCTAGGGGGCGCCCAGCCCAGGTGTGCCATGGACTAGCTCCAGATCCCTCCAGTCTGTCTTCCAGGACACCGGAGTCTGCCTGAGCAGCCGCTGGAATTCCCGCCTCCCCCGTCTTGTGTGTCCTCCCCAACCCTGTCTCCATTTAGGACAGTCCCTCAGCGCTTCTCTCAGAGAATGCCCGGCTGCAGCAGAGGGGAGGAAAAGCTCCCTGGAAGTCCGCTGCTGTTGGAAATTCATGCAAGTTTGCATTCTGCTTCTAACATGTCTGTCTTTATCTTATTTTATTTTTAATTGAGGTGAGATTGACATAACATAAAACTGTTTCAAAGCAAACAATTCCTTGCCATTTAGTACATTCTCAGTGTTATGCAATCATCGCTTCTACCTAGTTCCAGAATGTTTTCATCACCCCAAAAGGAAACCCTGCACCTATGAAGCAGGGACTCCCCGTTTCTTCCTCCCCCGCCCCGTGCCCCTGACAGACACGGATCTGCTTTCTGCCTCTACGGATTCACCTGCTCGGGACAGTTCATATCGATGGAGTCAGACACCGTGTGGTGACCTTCTGTGCCCGGCTGCTTTCACTTTCTCCTATTTTTGAGGTTTATCCTCATCGCAGCGGGCGTCCGAACATCATTCATTTTTGTGGCTGAGGAGTCAGCAGCGCGCTGCACGGGTCTCGTCCGTCGACTGACTCGCGGGCGCTCACCTTATTTCCAGCACTTGTTACCGCGCTGCCGTCCGGCGTGGCTCTGGGCACGCCTCTTCACGGACTTGTGTGAACGCCCGTTTTCAGGGGTCTTGGGCGTGCACCTCGGAGTGGAATTGCTGGGCTGCACAGCCATTCTATGTCCGACATGCTGGGAACCGCCAAATTGTTTTCCAAGTGGCCGTACCATTACGCATTCCTGCCAGGGACGTCACCTGTGTTTATTTTAGGATCAAAACAGCTGGAGTGCTTCGGTCGCTGCGGAGAGGGCCCCAGAACTATTCTATGGACTTGGGTCTGGATCCATTCCCTACCCCACTATTTGAAAAGCAAGACCCCCCTGGTAACCCAAGCCCCTCTCTGTTAGCAGAAACTCCCACCTCTCTGGAGCAGCGGGTCTGTCGCTGTCCCTTGATGCCAAGTCCTCTTACTGCTGGCCTGGGTGATTGAGGGCCCAGGGCAGGTGACCCTCCAGCTATGGGGACACCTCAGCACTAGCTCACGACACAAAAGCTGGAGGGACAAGCCGCTGGAACGCAGATGGGCAGACCCATCCTGGGGCCGTGGGGAAGTGAGCGAATGAATGACCGTGTGTCCGTCGCTCAGGCAGGACACAGCTGCCTTGGTGATGAGTCTCCTCTCCCCAGGGAGCATTAACGTGGTCCTGCTACTGGCCCCAGGGAGACTGTCGGGAGAGGCTGCTGGCCTCCCTGGAGTCAGACAGATCTGACTCACCTGTCAGCCGGGAGACCCTGGGAGACATACTGTGCCTCGTGCAGGCTCTGGGTCCTCATTTATAAACAAGGTGCCGGGAGTGGGGTACGGGATGCACCCGCTGTGCGTTCATGAGGATGAAATGGAACTCGGCCTTTCAACTGTCATTACTGGGCCTCCCTCCATGATGGCCCCCTGCTCGCAGTTGTCTCTGTCTACAGCGGTGTCTAGACTGAGCTGAATTCATGTCCGTGACCCCGTGTCGCCCAGCTCAGCACATGGCAAGGGCAGGAAGGGGCAAACGGAGTTTGGGTGTGACTTCTGGGCCTGGGGCCAGGGCTGCTGAGTCCCTGGTGGTGCCCTCAACCAAAATGGGGGACAAGCAGGTTGGGTTGGAGGGTATCAGGACTTTGGGGTCATTTAGAAGTTGTCTCTGATGTAGCAGGTGGAGCTGAGTGGAGATGGTAGTGTGCTCAGGTCTGCAAACCTGGGGGGAGCTCCGTATCAGTCTGGAAGCAGGATTGGAGGTATCAGAGATCACCCATGCCCGCCCCCCACACTTTGAAAAGGTTATACTTGCCTTCCCCACCAGCATCAGGCCCCACCCGGGATGTGCTGTGGCCACTTCTGAGCGGCAACTCAAGAGCCATCAGGTGGTTCCCCTCTAGCGAGGGAGCCCAGTGCCCAGGGGCTGCCCTGCCCATCACAGGCATGAGGGAAGAAGGCCTGTGCGTGCAGCACAGCCTCAGCCCACGGGTGCTGCACAGGGGAACGAGACCTTGTGTTGCAGGCCACTGGGACCTCAGGCCTGGCTGTCCCTGGAGGGGAATAGCTCCCAGTCTCTGCCCGTAGGCCCCTGCGCATAGTCACATAGGCCTTGGAGGAAAGACTTCCCCACGGCTGCTCTGAGTCTTGGCCAAACGCCCCGGGATCCCCCCTGGACAGATGAGCCCGGGAGGCGTGGGAGTTGTCGCCACAAGGCTGAGCGGCACCCGCCTCCACATATTCCCAGGAGGCTGCCGGGAGCTGGTGTCCCATCCCCGGGTTCCGATGAGGTCTGAGGCTTCCTGCCTCACCTTCCTCCCCTCCTGGGGATGAGGCTGTCCCAGGAAAGGTCGGTCCAGGGTGTCCTATGACTCCTGCGACAGCCTCCTGGCCCCTTCTGCTTCGGAGTCGACCTGGGGCACGTGGAACGCAGGGAGCTGGGGTCTTGCTTGGCTCATCCTTCGTTGTCTACATCTAGCAGGGATGAGGGTGTGTGTCAGCAGCTGAATCTGGCGCCTGGCCCGCACACCCCGCATAAGCCGCAGCAGGCTTTCTGATATGCTGAGCAAACATGACGTGTGGCACCGCGGGACGGGCTGGGCTCACTAAAGGGAGCTACAGAGAAGGCAAAGGACAGAGCCCGTTCAGCATGGGGACCGGGAAGGAGGGATGCCCAAGGGGCAGGAAGAGAACTCACTGGAAAGCTGAACCCTACCTACCCACTGTGACCGCACTCTGTCTCTGGCCTCCGTTCTCCCGCTCAGCCCCGGAACCTTCCTGTCACGGAGACAGTGGCGCTGTTGCTCACCGTGTCGCCCCAACACACACTTCCGGGGAAAAAACCAGCCTGTCTGGAGTCCTTCCATCGGTCCCTGGGGAATGTGGCTCCCACGCCCCCACCCCCCCACCCCCCCATGCAGCAGCAAGGGAGGGAAGGTCAACCAGCATCCTGCAGAGGGGGAGTTCAAGGCACAGGCCAAGAGTTTGCTAAGTGCCAGCCAGCGGTCTCCAATCCGAGCAGAATAACCCGCATCGGTGGGCAGAGACGGGTGGGCCATGCTGAGTGGGGCTCATGAGTTCTGGTCTGGACTGATGCCTCACAGAAACTTCTAATTCTACATACCCGCGGGGGGAATTTTCCTGGCTCACGTCTCAGATTCTGAGGCAGCCCCTCTCCCCGCTGTCCCGCCGCCGAGGTGGCAGGGCTTTTCCCGCTGAGCCTTCTGCCTCTGCACAAGTATTGCTTCACCTTCCTGCCCACCCCAGTCAAGGCTCGGAAATTAGCTAATCACACAGACATGCTGTGTGACCTGGGGCAAAGGAGGAACCTCTCTGAGCGCCCTTGACCTCATCTGTGCAAAGAGGGTCAGAATGCTGTGGTAGCCTGCTATAAAGCGGGTGATTTTTTTCCCTGGGATCTGATCAATCACAAAGTGGCCATTCAGTTCAACCCAATCAAACCCCAAACCCTGGGCTCGGGAAAGCTTGGAGCCACCCGTCCCGGCAGAAGAACAGAAATGCACGGAGGAGTCGTCAGAGCAGAGCCTTGCACCGAGCACAGTCTGGCCTTCAACATACAGGTCAGGCTAGAGGCACTGCAGGAATCAGGGCTGGAATAGTCAGGAGGGCTTCCTGGAGGAGGGGGTACTTTTCTCAGATTCCTACCATTTCCAGATCCAGAGTGCCTGAGGTCTGGGATCATATTCCATGGCCCTGTCACTGGTGTTTACTCAGATGCTGAGTAAACAGTGACAAGTTCCTGGGATGTCATGTTTCTTGTTCCTCCAGTTTTAATAATTTTAAATTTCACAACGCAGCATTGGGCTGCTTGAGAAAAGAGAAGAGGAGGCCACAATGCCCTTGAGTGGGGCCTCAGCCTCATGTCCCGTGCTCTCCTCTGGAGTACCGAGGTCACATTCATTTTGTCTCCTCCTAGCCTCCTCCTCAGAGCCCTCTCCCTGGATGGAGAGGGGCCTACGTCACTATTGCCCCTCCTTTGTGGCTCATGTGACCATCTGAGGATGGACATGGCAATTGCCCAGAGGCAAGGGCTGGTGTTCTGGGCAGCATGGGTGCCTTGCTCACCCAGTCCCTCCCTTATGCCAGCCGTGGGGCGACCCTGGGGGCGTGGCTGCCCCTGGGAGCTCAAAAACACCTGTTGGGGCCCCTGTGGCTCCTCCCCCTGCCCAGGGAGGCCCCCACCTCGTACTCCAAAGGTTGCCCTCTCCTCCCACCCCCAGTGAACTCCGGTACCCTGTACGACAATCCCAGGCCTCAGAACACGAAGGGGCAGTGGGGGAGGTTTGTCCCAAGTCAGACACGCCGTCAGAACATGAAGGACGGCCCAGAACCTGGACGTAGATACATCTGGCCTGTCTACCAGCTTGTCTCCCTGCTTAGACCCCTCTTCATCCGGTTCTCCATTCGGCAGTCGGTGCTCCTAGAATGTCGTGTCCTCTCACAGCTGCTCTGCTCCAGGTTTCACCAAGTGCAGAAGCCAGAATCTTCCCCCGACGGTGGGACTGCCGGAGTGGTCCTGCCGCCGGCTGCCTGCTGCTCTCACTTCCCCCCCGCCGCAGCGTTCCCTGTTCCCCGGCCGAGGCACACTCGGATGTTTCCAGCCTCGGGCTGTTAGGGATACAGCTGCTGTGAACATGTGAGCTTTGACGTGAGCGATTTTCATTTTCTTCCGGGATGGAGAGCCAAGGGTGCAGTTGTTGGGTCACAGGGCAAGTGTGTGGTCACTTTTTAAAGAAACAAGCGAACTACTTTCCAGGGGGGCTGGAAACCACTTACATTTCCCCAGCAGTGGGTGGATGAGCCAATTTTTCTGCATACTTCCCAGCATTTGGTGTTACCACTATTTTTGGAAAATTTTTTTTTTTTTTTTTTTTTGAGAGAGAGCGAGCGAGCAGGGGGGGGGGGGGGGTCAGAAGGAGAAACGGAGTCCCTGCTGAGCTGGGAGCCCGATGCTTGGCTCAATCCTGGGACTCTGGGATCATGACCTGAGCCAAAGGCAGATGCTTAACCGACTGAACCCCCCGCCCTCCCCCGCCAGGCGCCCCACCATTTTTTATTTTAGCCTTTTGGTAGGTGTGCACTGGTTGTAACACTTCACGTTCCCAGTGGCTGTGCGTGAGAGTTCCGGTTTCTCCACACCCTCAGCAACACTTGGTGAGGTCAGTGGTTTTCATTTTGGCCATTTGAGTGGCACGCAGTGCTGTCTCATTGTGGGTTCGATTTGCATCTTTTCATGTTCTTATTTGCCATCCACGGAGCTACACCGATGAAGCATGTGTTCAAGTTTCTAGAAAATTGGGTTGTTTGTCTTATTATGCGTTCTTTCTATATTCTAGATTGGGTCCTTGCTCTGGTATGTCTTTCGAATTTCTCCCTGGTCTGTGCATCGCCCTTTCATCTTCGTTGTGGGGTCTGTCCCTCACCCAACTTCCCTTTTCTTTATAGCCTCGTCCCTCCCTGACAGGCGTGTTTACTGCCTGCTTCCCCTCCTACGGTGTCAGCCCCATGAGTTCAGGGGATGGCTCTTGGGCCACGTCCTCAGCTCCTAGCACAGTGGGTAGGCTGTACCTATTTGTTCAGTGGCCATGCCGGTCCCCCGGCCATATCACAGCTGCAGGGGTGGGGGACATGGATTGCTGAGTGGAGACCCTACAGCAGGTTGTTGCGAACTTTTAGGTCAGCATCAGGGAGGTCTGAGCTGGGGCATGGGCATGAGTGGCGACGGGGCAGAGAAAAGGCCAGACCGACTTTTCCAAGGTGCATTTGCGAAGCTCCCTTCCTCCCTTCTCCTGCCAGCAGAAGCATCCCACTAGCCACACACGCCCCACCTCTGTCCAGCGCTGGCATCGCGGCTCTACTTGCTGCCAGGCAGGAGCAGCAGGGACGGGGGAGGGAGTGTCCAAAAGGCATCATCAGCTCCTTTGCCATTGGAGTGTCTACAGCGTGCATGCGTCATGCAGGGACATAAATGCACAGGGCGAGGGTGTGTATGTGCCATGTGTGTTGTCCTTGGCAGGTGTGGTCCAGGGTGTATGACGCCTGGATGTCGGGCTTCTTACACCAGTGCTATGCGTCTGTGTGCTGGGGTGTTGGCCTCCCCACACAGTAAAGCAACAGCTTCTTCTCCAGGACGGAAGGACTGTTGGCTGGTTGCTGCTGTCTTTTCTGTTTCCCCCTCCCGGAGACCCTGTCTGGGACTTTATGCCTTCTCTCCTCTCTGCCAGTGCCAGCCTCCCTCTGTAGCCAGACTGCCCCTGGCCGCGGTTCCCAGCAGATCCCCACTTTGCAACTTGGCCTGTGTACTGAGTCCTGTTGTCCAGTCTGTTCAAGGGGAATAATACCTACCGGGTACGGTGACTGCGAGGATGAAAATGTGCAGGAAGAGTTTACAGGACGTGCATGTAGCACGTGCTCCATAAACAGCAGTGAGCACACGCGCACAAAAGCAGGTCCGTTCCAAGAACTGCAGCGTTTCACTGGGTAGCCCCTGTTGCGTGCCCACCAGAGCACCACCCCTCCGTGGAGTCCGTCCCTGGGCTGGGGACGCTGGGCCTCGCTGTCTCACGGACACACCTGTTCACTCTTTTGTTCAACATCCGCTAAGGCTCGCGCCAGCCGGGTGGAGGCTAGGACACAGACGACTACACCATGTGACACGCACGCCACCGTGCCGGCGCCATGCCAGCCCCTTATCTACCCCAAGAGCGCTCAAGGCTGCCAGGTGGCACCACCTCTCAGTAATTTTCCACAACCCGAGAGAAGCTGCGTCTCTCTTGACATCATCACGATGGCACCTTCCAAAGGGGGCAGCTCCGAGGGCTGAACGAAGGGACCCGCACCGCACAGGGAGCCCTCTTCCGCTTGTTTACTCCCAAGCCACCGTCCGTCCCCACAGTGCCCTGGCCCCCGAAAGTTCACAGGCCGCTGAACCTCAGAAGCTTCCCGGGTGGTATGGGCTGGGCTGGGGGTTAACAACCAACTTTGAGACCAGGCCCGGAAAACGGTGCGAGGAGAGAAGAAATAATCATTAACTCCGGTGGCTCGGGCGGGGCAGGGAGGGCGGATCCGGGAAGGCTGCGGGGAGGAAGTGGTTTTCGATCCAACCGGGTCTTACTCAGGGAAACCGACTTCCAGCCGCAGATGAGAGGCGGGGCTCCCACGGTAGGGGGACGGCCGCGTGCTCCTGCGCCGCGTCCACGCTCGCGGGACCTGGAGTTCGCTCCATCAACGGACGCAGGCCCTCGGGCACAGACGGACAGGCCCCAGGGCCTCGGGACCGAACCGCAGCCGGTGCCACTCTGCGTGTGGGGAGCGCAAGGGCAGGGCCCTCGTGCCTTCACCAACACCTGGGCACCGCGCCCCGGGCTCCGTGCAAGCTTCTGCGGACCCGGGGGCGCACGTGGGGGCAGGGAGAGAGACGAGAGGTGCGCGTAGTTTCCGAGTGCGAAGGGCTCCGAGAGAGCGGAGCGCGGGCCTGGGGACAGGACCGGCGACTTCAGGTGGGCAGGCCTCTGGCCAGCAGCGCCTGCCTGGGGCGCGGAGAGCAGCCCGGAGCCCGCGCGCGATCGCGGCCCAGGGCGCGGCAGCCGAGCGGCGCTTCCGGCCTCGGGGAAACGCTCGCCGCGTCCCTGCGAAGTGCGCCTGCGCCCATTTTGCAGACGCGAGGAGCGAGGACGCGCAGCGCCGCCGGTTCGAAGGCGCGAGCGCTCCGCGCGCCCTCCACCGCGTCTGCGCCGGAGAGCTCGAGGGGGCGGGGCTCCCTGGGGGCGGGGCCGGCGGCCGAGGGGGCGGGGCCGTGGCCTTGGCGGGGCCGTTGGTTTCGCGGCGGAACCTCCGCGCGGCGACGGCGGGCGTGCGGGGGAAGACTTTGCGGCAGCGCCGAGGCCACCGCCCAGGGGAGCGCGGCGGTGAGGGCGGCGCGGCGTCCGCTCCGGCTCCGGCCCCGGCCCCCGCCCCGGCTGCGCGCGCAGCCCTCCGCCCGCAGGCCGCCCTCCGCCGGCCCCGCCCAGCGCGGGGAGCGCGCGGCCGCCCCGAGACCCGGAGGTGAGGTGGACCGCTGAGCGGGCGGCGGCGGCGGGAGCTGGCCCCGCAGGTGAGGGGGCCGGGCCCAGAGCCCTTTCGGTCCCGGGGACCCCTCCCCGCCTTCCCTGGGGTACCCCCGAGACGCCTGTCGGGACCGCTGGTCCCCGAGACCCTGTCGCAGTCTCTGGCCCCGTCTGCCCCTGCCGCTTGAGGGCTCCGGAGCCCTGAAGCCCTTCGGGATTTCCCCTAGAGTCCAGGACCCCCCGAGGGCCTCCGAGATTGCCCGGGACCCCCCCGCCCCCCCCCCCCCCCCCCCCCCGGCTCCCCCGTCCGGGTGCGCAGGCCCTCGGGGCCCTCTCTCCCTAGCGCCCCCTCCCCCAGAGCCCGAGGCCGCTGCACCCCCCCCATTCCCCCCGCCCGGGGCTCCCCCTGCCTCTCCACCTCCTGATCCGTCCAGACCCGGTCGGCTCGTCTCCAGGCTGGTTTCTCAAACCCGAAGTCCAGGACCCCCGAGGGGCATCAGCGACAGCCTTCCCTGGGGGTGGAAATTGCTGATGATAATATAAAAGTGGGGGCGTCTCATCGGTCCCCGGCTGACCCTTTGTAACGGAGCAGGGGTGTGATCTCGGCCCCCACGTTTCATGTGTGTTCACCGCTGCACTGAGGCCGGAGCAGGGACAGGGTTGAACTTTTAATGCTCTTTGGTGAGACTCCCCCGGCCCCGCAGAGGAGTCTCGAGAACCCGTCTGAGCTGGTGGGGGGAGGACTGCGCAGGTGAGCGGGTCTGGGCGAACCCGGCTCTGAGGCTGCCGTCTTGGCTCGATTTTTTCATTCTTGGAGCTAATCTTTTTTCTGAATGCCCAGTAGTTTCCAGGAATTGGCACTTGAGCTGGAGACGACGAAGTCCTTGCTGTCAGGGCCCATGCGGGCGGGGTGGACTGGGGAGCGGGAAGCCGGTGGGTAATTGTCACCCGGGGATAATAGCTGAGTCGTGGCCTTGAGCCCAGCTGGGGTGGGAGCCCAGCTCCCAGGAAGTGGTTTCTGGAGGGCTTTTGGAAGGGGAGGAAAGAGGACGGGTAACAGGTGCGCTGGTCTTGAAGGTTGAGGTTGAGAAGTTTGCCACAGTCATTCCAGGGAGGGGGGGGGTGTGTTTGTGAGAGGGAGGGAGAGAGTGTGAGAAAAGGCAGAGAGGTGTTGCCACAAAGCATAGCAGATCTTGGAAACAAGCGTGGCCACAGCACAAAACCATCCTGGGGGACAGCTGGAGGTGTATTGCTTCGTTAATGAAAGGGTTCTCAGGGTAGTATTAGAATCTTAAGTGGGGTGAGTCCAGCTTCGTTCCCCAAGGCTCGTGCCCTTGGTCCTTTCTTGGATCACCGCTTCTGCTGTCTCCTGAGGAGACGGCGATGCAGCTCAGGGCAGAAGGAAGGTAGGAGTTGGTCCGTGAGGAGGATTGAGGGAGATTCTAGGGAGACCAGAATGGGGAAATGGGAAAGTCTGGCAGAGGGCAGGGTTTGGGATGCAGAGTGACGAAGAAGGGGGTGGGCGAGGGGGGTCAGGATGCAGGGACGGAGTCGGGCCCACGGAGGGGTTTAAGGAGGGGAGGGAAATGGGTTTTGTGTTCATGAAAAATCACTGGCTGTGGTGGTGGGGTGGGGGGGTGCTGTTGTCTGGAGGAAGCTGGGTGAGAGAGAGGGGTCCTGAACCGGGGTGGTGGCAGTGGAGACCATGGCTTCCTCAAGCGTGGGTGTCTTCCTCAAGCCTGGACCCCGGAGATGGCCGTTCAGTCCTTTCCTGGTGGAGCCTACACTTTGCTGCCTGGAAATTGACTTTGGAACTTACTAGTCCCTGTAGGAGAAGTTTTGTCCTTTTGTCCAAAGGGTGGGTGGTCCCGAGGGCTTCATCAGGGTAACTGTATGTCTGTGTGTCACCGAGAGCCCAACATCCATGCAGGAGATGCACCCATGGCTCGGGGGCGGGGGTAGCACGAAGGGGCAGGTTTGTAGAGATGGAACAGCATAGAGGTGTGGAGGTTGGACTTAGGGGCTCTGAAGGGGAGGCAAGTTCAGATTGGTCCTGGGAGAAATGTCCCTCCTGAGACCGTGTGGTGGTTCTCAGTGTCCACACAAGTTTGTGAGGACACAGGCAGTGGCCGAGGGCCTGGGATTTTGGGTGGTAGTGAAAATGTTCTGGGTCTGTGTTCCCTGAGGCACTAGTCTCGTGTAGCTCTCAGGTGCTTAAAATAAAGCTGGTGGGACTGAAGAACTGAATTTGTTAGATTTATTTAATTTTAACTAATTAAATCCAGGAAGGACAGCCAGTCACAGGCAGGGTGTAGTGGGAAGCATCCTGTTCTAGGCTGTGTTCTTTCAAATGTTACGCTTTTACTGTTTCCAGCAACCCTATGAGACGAGAGATAAGATTTCTTTTTTACAGACAAAGGAAATAGAGTCCCAGAGTGAGTAACCTACGCCCGTGTGAGTAGTACAACCAGCATGGGCGTGGTTTAACTCCTACCTACGGCTGGGCCTTTTCCTAGAGAACCTGCTAGAGCCTGGAGCCTCTCCTTGTGGGGGAGAGTGAAGTCCTTTTGGGAGGCAGCGTTGTTCCCGCCCAGCCCACCCAGCCCTCCGGGTCTGGGCTCTCCCCGCTGAAATCACGGTGGATGGTGGGGTGGAGAGCCAGCCTAGACCCGAAACCTGGGAGCTGGTGGTTTTGCCTGCTGCCTCTTAGACCTTCCTCATGGTGGCTGTTGCTTTTAGCATTTCTGGAAAAGGAGCCCCATAAGAAAGCATGTGAAACTAGGTCAACCAAAGCACCATGGCTTGTTATTTGTGAAGATTTGGTGGTAAAAAGAGATGCCTTAGTTGCAGTGAGTGCTTTAGATGAAGTTTTGGACTCACAGGGGAATAGGGAGTGCCCAGGATGGTGCAAGGTTAGGGGCCATGAGCGAGGAGCGAGTTTCTAGCTTGTCCCTAACTCCTCGGGGGGCTGGGACTAAGTCACTGCCTCACGGAGTCGCCATTTTCATTTTTCTAAAATTAGGGCCTCTGGCATCCCCTAACCATTTGGATCCCTTCAGCTCTAGAATTCTGTAACGTTAATCTCTTTAGAGGTTTACTTTCTAGAACATCTTTTTCTTGGGATGGCTAAACGCTGGTGGTTCAGCCTGCTTTTAGGCCTTCGTGGGGGTGTGCCTTACCCTTACTGCCTTATCATCGAGGACCGTGTCTGAGTTAATTGAACATCCGATGGACAAACTGGAAAGCAGACGACACTCGCGGTTGGCAGGGCTCCTGGTGAAATGTCAGGTGTGTTTGCCGCTCTGAGCCACACTCACGTCAGGAAAAGGTGCCAGGACCGTATTTACCGTGACCGGCCTCTGAGAGAGTTTGCTGCCATCCTCGCCAGATGAGGGGCAGCCGTGATGACCGCTTGGTCAAGATCACAGCGTTGTTGAAGGGTTAAGTGAGATGAAGCATGTAGAGTGCCGAGTACTGTCCCCTGAATCTAATAAGGGTACGGAAAACGTCAGTAATGAACGCGGCAGTTGGAACCAGCCCGTGACTTTGACATTTCCTGTGAGCTGCGGGTTTTGTTGTCTTCTTCCTTTGGGATAAGCGCCCAGGTCAGTCTGGAGGCACTGGTTGTAAGAAACAAATGAATACATTATAACTGTTAAAATTAAGCTTTTTTTTTTTTTTTTTTTGCTGTTGTAACTTCTTTTGACTGCCTTTAGAAAGTGATTGGTTCAATGTCACGTGTTCAAATTAAGGTTTTCTGTTTTCTGTAAACTGAAGAAAAATCGTTCATCCTAAAGATGCCCAGTTAGCCCCGGCTGGGAGGAGCTCTAAGCAGAACCAGGGCTGAGCAAGTGCGAGGTCGAGCAGGAAGCCCCCTGATGGTCAGGGCTGGCCGCCGCTGCCCCGGTAGTTCATAGTGGGAAACGTTTTACAGCTGTTTAGGAACCTTCAGGCTAGTGGACGCACCCGAAGTTTGCACAACAGTCAGTGGCGTGGGTGGTGGAATTCCCAGCTGACCCGTTTGGAAGCAGGTTCAGAGAGGTGTCCCTGCTGGGGAAGGGGTGGCGTTGTCTTGACTCCAGATCTCGTGTTTTCCTTGGTGTTGTCATGACCGCCCCCCACCCCAACCCCCACCCCCGCTGCCTCTGTTGCAGTTGCAGTGGTCTCAGGGCTAAGCCTCTCCTGCGGTTCTGGAAGCTTCATTGTTGCCCATTTGTACCTTGTTTCCAGATCAGGTGAACCTAGTCATGCTAACCGAATGCACCAGAAACACAGTTACCACTTCCAGATGGTTCCCTGGTGGTCGGAAGTGTGGCTGTCCATCGTCCTTGAAAACCTACTCCCATGACCCAGTGATTTCTGCTTCTGTGCCTGAGTCTACCTGGGCAGCCAGGTTGCTATGAAAAAGGCCGTTTGCGGGAATCCCATCAGACTAAGAGGGGAGGATGGTGTTAACTGCTGGGTTCGGTGTCGGGAGCTCGGGGAGCCGCACCGGGAAAGGCTTGCTTCGTGCTTCCCAGGCTTCCAGGCCCGCTTGGGGGAGCGAGAGTACAGCAGCTGGGGCCTGGCCTCCTTGTAGGACATTCTAGTCCTCAGGAACTGCACTGGGGCGGTGGATTACACTTAACTCCAGCTGGCCTTGACCGACACGGGTTTGGACTGTGTGGGTCCACTTACAGATCGTTTTCAGTAAATCTCCTGGACGTTTGAGATTTGCAACAATTTGAAAAAAACGGACGAGCTGCACAGCCTTGAACTAAAACACTGAGAAGAAGTTAGGTGTGTCATGAATGCACAAGGTATTTGTAGATACTAGTCTATTTTAGCATTTACTACTGTAAAGTCTACATAAAATCTAAAATCTATCATAAAAAAGTTAAACATCAAAATTTAGACTGCACATGACTTCTCAGTGGAGAGAAAATGTAAACAGATATAGAGAGGCGGTATTGAACTGAACTGTGCAGTAATCCTGTCCGATGGCCTGATTTTGTGGCTCCTTCCCACTGCGCGTGCGGCGAGTCAAGGACCGCCCTGTCTGCCTAAA